TAAGGGCGCGATTCAATGGAATTGCTAACCATTACTAACCTAGAGTGACGCTGTTTTCCTCGTCATGGACCCGCCTCCGAGAAAGACGATCGCGTCAAAATGAAAGGCCACTAATAAATGGAGTCTCCGCTCAAAAAAAAAAACATATTGCAGCTATCCCAAGGTTCTTAAGAAGCGAGAAGTTGGAAGTTGCTTACGATATTTGACAGGAATATACGCCTGGAGATGATTACTCACATAGACTCTGTTCCAGACTGGGATCTCCCCTCATCCATCCCTCCTTCACTTAAAATTAACTAGTTGCACACATCAAAAGTTAGAACTGGGCACATCTCCACGCTCCAATGCCGACATCTTCTAGCCAGATAGCTCTTCAATCTAATAACTAACGAGTTTATCATGAACCCGTAGAATGGCATACAAATTCGTGATGCAAATTGAAATTAGCACTAGAAAAATTAGTACGCCACCCGATCGCCTCCCAATCCATCTTCTACAATTTATCCGGCTACCGGTGTGTCGTAAATGCAGCCCAAATCAGTAGAACGGTTACAAGGCTTCTGTCAACCAGGGGGTGAGAGTGTAGAAGGAAAAGCAGACGTTCTTTGTGGTAGTGGGACTAAGCCTTTTAAAGGAGGTAAAGAAAGCGGAGATTCTGTAATAGTGCGCTTGTGTGAGAGCTCCCAGACAGCACAACAAAACGCTGAATTGCCTAGCCTCACGGTTGACAGATGTCCGGAGACCGAATCAGACCGAAAGAAAACTCACAACACCGCTGCTAGCTGATGCTTTTAGACGCTAATCTGACGCCATCGGTGTTTATATGAAATAGCGCCGTGAAGGTTTCAGGTCAACTCCTTGTCCAATTTTCTAATTCAGCGGACAGTAATACTATTTTGCAATTTCTGCAAAGACCACAAATTATGATCGTAAGTTCCAACCAGTCTTTCACACTGAATGTAATTAGCTGGTCTAAGAAAGCTGCATAACAGCTAGAAAATTGCAAAAAAAAATTGGCGAAAGGCCGACCTTGCAAAAATCAGATTTCCGTTCGATGGATCCATCCCTACGCTCTATCATGACGTCATCAACTATGGTCACTTGGTAGAAATTTTCTGAAGAACATTCTCCTTTAGCCTTGCTTCACCATCAGGTTTCATGTAGTGACGAGATACGTATTTGTGATAAACCTCGGGAAAAAGAACTGACACAATTTATTATAAAATATTTATTGATGAAAAGAAAAATCGTATCAAACAAGCGACCATAGAAATTGGAAGCGTAATTGAAAGAAGAAATATCACTACAAGAAATTAAAACACACACATGCTCACATTGCACTTCGACTGAACAACCGTTTGTTAATCAGGACGGTGGCGAAAAACTTGTTGATGACTGAGCGAGAAATTGGAAAATAGTGGACCAATCAGGATGAAGGTAACGCCTATATTCTGAAGCGACTCCTGATTGGTCCACTTTTTCCAGAAATCTTTTAGCAGTCGTCGACAAATTTCGCGACACCATCTCAACAACAAAAATAAACAGTGCGACGGGAACAGTCGTTGCTTACTTTTAAGGCGGTTTTATGCAAAGTACACCAGCAGCTATTCACTTGACGACGACGACGAAAAGTTGAGGCGAGGCGAGCAGGAGATAGGTCGAATCTCAAAGCTTTCTAACCGAAGGATTATCATCTGTTGAGTATGAGTGGCACACGAGAGAGAGAGGAGAGAGACCACAAACGGATACAAACGTTACTTTCAAATTACTATACACATAGTGATTTACTCATATAGCAGTCACGACTGGCGAATTGACTCTGGTAATCTAGAAGAGGTGAGTATGAGGTAAGACAAACGAAGATAAATCCTCTTCCGTGACTATTCAATTTTAAAACCGTACAGAAGCAGGGTCTATTCTCTCAGCTCTATTAAATTTTGATATTTGATACGAGCATGAAAACCAGTGGTTGCCGCCAAAAAGGTTCTAACTAACAAAAAGGTTTTGGAAAATAATATTAGGTTCAAATGCATGATCTTTCACTTCAGGATTTACTAGAAAGACATGTTTAAATGCCTCGATTAGGCAGAAGCCGAAAAACGGATTAACGTTATTCACGAAAATCGGAACGATGACCCGGCAGACGTTTGGGAGACTGATTGGACACCCATCCATATACCATTTTTGACTGCCCGGAGACTTACATCGGAAGCATCAGGTGAATTGTTCACTTCAGATCTTTGGGAACTTCTGTGGGGTACACCCTACTCACTAAAAAATTTAGCATAGCATCTAAAATTTGCCGTTTCAACGCGAACATATTGACTGACATAAAGCTAATAAGAGAGTGTACCTGAATAACACCCCTTCTCTGTGGACCAGGTAGACAAAAAATATTTAAAAATTGAAAAGATCAGCGTGACGTCGCCAGTAAGCATTCCGCAAGGATATCTGCTTGCAATAACGACGTCATATCAAAGTGATATATCACTATCCACACTTGCACTTCTTCTTTTCTCGTTGTCTGTCGTTCAGTGTCAATTTCACTTCACCACGGCCATCTTTTCCTTGGAGGACTTGACAGCTTAGCGTTCAAAACCAATCGAGTGATGCAGGAGAACATCTATAACGAGTTCCATTTGCCGTATGGCTAGGATTTGTTAGGCATAACCTTTATTCAAAGCATATCAAAGGAAGTAAACCATGTGAAAGTTGATAAGTAGTGAAAAATAAGGTACAGTTCCGACACTTGTGCCGAAACGGCCTGTACCTATTAGGCTTTTAGGCTATTAGCTATGCAACGGTCTACGCGGCAGGGTGTCTGCGCCTCGCTTGTCACTACGCTCCCTCATCAGCTCACTCTCCCCACTACACAATGTTCGCTAACTGTCTCGTTACCAACTTTACGAAAAAATAGGTCCTCAAACTTAGTGTTTTCTTCTTCAGTGAATTTCCTCTTGCTTTCTTTAGTTCTATTTTTGAACGAAATAACGTATTTCCAGATCGAAGAAGCGTCATCCTACGCATAACCGGATCGTTTTCCTCAATAGTCAATCACCCATGCAAAGGAACGAAACTATTCCTTGTCAGACATTAGTAAGAAGCGACCTCAGGAAAAGAACACTTCACCATCTAGTAGTATCAAGATCATCAAGAACACTCGGGTCACGAATTTTTAGGGACTGCGTCACGTGGCTCACCAAGTCCGCAATTACGACGTATTATGCATCAGAAATTAGAGATTACGTATCAGTATGATAATCACACAAACCTCTTCAACATTAGTGTTTTCCTTGGCAGACGTTTCAAAGAATTTTATATGCATGGTGTCAGCGAACTGCCTGGCATCGCTCTCTAACACGATTCTTCGTGCAGGATCCTCATTCTTGTTTCCTACTGAAAATATTATATTCATAATGACTACTATGAAAGATATGAAGGATAAAAAGGATAAAATAAGAACACGATACGTTGGGTATGAAGGCTCGAGTAAGAAATTTAAGCACGACTTTCTGCGGGTTCCACTTATATAAGCTTAAAAGAACAAAATTCGATGTTTATAGGTCCCTTCGGGGTTCGTCTGTATTTGACTTCCGAAGAGGATCACAAAAATTTGATTTTTGCAATAGAATGAATGTGACTGAGGCAAAGTGCAATACCTTTTCCAGCCATTTCCCACAATCCTCACCAAAATCGATCATTGAGCAAGATTATGGGAGAAGTATGGTACTCACTCCAGAAGGCGAAGAGGCGGACAGCCTCCTCAACCTATGCTAGCCATACCTCAGATCTCCGTGCCAAGCCCAACAACTGAGTGTAAGAACAGCGAAAATACTTCAAATTCTGCAAAACCTCGAAAATATTCTCTAAACCCCTAAAAATACTATTCCCTCTCAAAAATGATCCCTCTCATCCGACAACTCACTACATCGAAGAAACAAACGACGTATTCTGGTGTAAACTACCCCATTTGTGGAAGTCAGCTTATATTTAATGCAGTCTCTGTCTACACATCCATACATGGAATCAAGAAACAATGACAGAGCGCTTCTCAACACCACAATATTTACAGCATCAACTTTTCAACCTATTCGGGCACCTCTAAAATGCAAGACAACCCCTCTCGAAGCAACCTCATAAATACGGTCCCTTGGATGAATTTCACCCTGAACTATGCAAAACCCTGAGTCACTCTCACTCCCACTTTTGGTCTATTATAAACGCACATGAGTCATCCTTTCACTCGATCTCTGCCATAACCGACAAAAAAAATCACTTTCCGGCTGTATCAAATCATTGATTCATAGCATTCCTCCTATTTTCAAAGGATCTTCGCACTACTTGCCTCAGAATACTTGCGAAACGGAGGCTTAACCCTTCTTTGCTCACCCACCCACCCTCTTTTAAATAAATTCAAAAACATCGTAATCAAGATAATAATAGAAACGCATTAGTTGATTAAACGTTTCTATATTAAACATAGTAATTTCATTTTATATAGTCAAAATTAAAATAATGCAAATTCCTGTAAGAAACGTCAAATTGAGTAACCGCTTCCAAATCCTCTCATCTTGAAACCTCAGAATTTTCGTTCAAAAATCACCTACAATAACTGAATAACAAAAAGGCCACAATAAATTTCCCACCTAACAACCTCACAGCAGAAATACAAAAACACATACAATAACGAAGAGACCACAATAAATCTCCCACCTAACAACCTTGGGGCAGAAGTATAAAACACATATAATAAATCAAATTGAGAATTCAACTACTCAAATGACCAAAATCCTGCTCGTGAGTACCTCACTCACGACGTCAACTTCTATGAATTTGAAAATCTGAAGGAAAAAAAGAAAAAGAAAATTTCAAAAAACTATTGACGCACCAAGAATTTTCTGTACACTTTCACAATTCGCATCTATTTCATGAAGCCATCGTTTCACATTGCTAAACGATTCGCCATTTGTAACGTCGTACACCACTACCACTCCGTGCGTACCACGATAATATCTGAAATGGAACCCGTAGAGGAAAGACGTACACAATTGGAAGAAATATACAAATCGCTCTTTCTGTCAGCCCACGGCTATACTTTCAAAAATTGTGCTCTCAATCAAACGGGGAAACGCATAAGGAATTCCGGAACAATGGCAAGCAAGCTTATTAACGAAATCGACGAAGCAAAAGCCGGTGGACAAAAAGTACCAGAACAAGTTATGAGCTTTTGAAAGCCTAAGTCACACCTTTGAAAGATAAAGCATACAGGGTCGATCAACACCTTTTCGGAATGCGCCAGGCCTTCAAACTTCCATTTTGAGAATAACGGCACTTTCGGATGCAAATTTGAGCTTGACAAAGGCTTCCCTGGATGCCAACCGACGT